TCTAATGTCATTCAGATTGTTTTTCCTCTATATGTACCATTTTTCTGTCATTGCCTTGAAGATTATTTTGTCTTTTCCTTCTAAAAGTTTTAAGTATGATATAACTAGGAGCACAGTTCCTTAGATTTATCCTATATGGATTTCTCTCTGATTTTTTTAAATCTAGGTTTTCTTCTGTCTCATAAAATTCCAGAGTTTTTTGCCATTATTTCTTTAAGTTGTTTTTTAGCTCTACTTTCTTTGTGATATCATGACTATTAAAACATGTGTATTCCCACTGGTTCCTGAGACCTTGCTTTTTTTTTTTCAGTATCTTCTCACATTATTCACAATAGATATTTCCTGTTTTCTTGTCTTCCAGTTCTCCCACTCTTTCCTCTGTTATCTGCAGTCTTTTGTCAAAGTCTTCCATTGGTCAAGCTTTTCATTTTACTTACTGTATTTTTCAGCTCTAAAATTTCCATTTGTTTCTTCTTTACATCTTTTTTCTTTACTGAAATTTTATATTTTTTGCTGATAGCTTCATCCCCTTCCCTGTTTGTTTCAAGTGTATGTGTAATTGATCATTAGAGCCTTTTTTATGGTGCCTTAAAATCAGATCATTTTAACATCTTTGTCCTCTCACTGCTGGCATGTGTGGATTGTCCTTTTTCACTTGGTTAGCAATCTTCTTGGCTCTTGATATGACAGATTTTCAATTGAAACCTGGACATTTTCATATTATGTTACAAAAACTCTGGGTCTTAGTTATGCTTTCTGTTTTAGCTGGCTTTCTCTGACATTATTTCATTTGAGGAAAAGTAACATGCTGACTTGTTATCAAGAGTCAGTAGTGGGCCGGGGATTTAGCTCAATGGTGCTGCTCCTTCCTGGCAAGCGCAAGGTCCTGAATTTGATCCCCACTACAAAAAAAAAAAGGCATCAACAGAAATCTAGCTTTTCCCACTCAGCCATCATTGACACTTGAGGCAAGAACTCCTCGGTACTGCTAAGTGGGAATGGAAGTTCCAACTCCCCACATGGTCTCCACTGATCCCTTGGTTGAGGTCAGCTCATTACCACTAAGTGGTGATGAAAGTCCTGACTCTTTCAGAAACTTTCTCTAGAAGATGCCTTCTTGCTGGGTGGAACTGAAAGTTCAAGTTCCTTATGTGATCTCCACAGACACCCTTGGAGAAAGGGCTGATTACTGAGCATTGAGGATAAGTGAGCACTGTACCCAGCCTCCCCTAATACAACATCAGAGAAGTGTTGGTGTGCTTTGTTACATCCTCATGATGGTGAAGTCTACATTCCCTACTTGGCCGGCATTGTTAAGGTTGGGCCATATTTTTTCTATGGTGGTCAGCTATAGTACAGGAATCATTGTCCTACAGCATTTTGTCTGATAGGCTGCTGATCCTTTGGCTGGAGAGAGCATGTGTTGTTTTGTTTGTTCATTTTATCTGGATCCATTGGCATTCTCAGACTGCGCACTTCTTTAGCTCCAAGTCTGGTTATGTAACTGAAGGAACTTACCAAGGTATTGTGACTTGGTCCCTAGATCCCTTGCTGGTTTTCTTCTTTCTATTTTTCAGTTTTCTTATATTTTCTACATATAATCCTCAAGGTTTTTATTGTACTTAATGGAAGGAGTAGGGAACAATACATTTATTCTATCTACCTGGAAGCAGAAATGCTACTGGCTTACTTTTTAAAATTTAGCCACATTGGGGGGAAAAAAGACACTGTAGAATATACGATGTGAATAGAAAGCACAGGACTAGGTTTTTGCTGCTGTTATTTTACAAATTATTGAAAATACCTTGTTTAAATGAGTCCTTAACATGTATCACTAAGTTATCTTTTGGAGATGATTCTGGGTAGTTGACCCTGCTCCTGACCATTTTTAGAACTCTTTTAGACTTAATTTTAGAGAATGAATCATGTTCCTTTGAATATTATCAGTGGCATAAAGTGTCATCCTGTGAGACTGTTTGATTTCTTTGGAAGTAAGCCCTAGTCATTCAGAAGCCAAGATGGGTGGTAAAACAGATGACCAAATTGGGTAATATAACAACTCTTTCTAAAAGAACAGCGTGAACCAAGGCATCTTTATAATGATAGAACCATTTCTCTCATGTCATACAAAATTGCCCAAATACTTAACAGTTTCCTATAATAAGCCTGAGTAGCTCTGAGATGCATTTCGCACATACAGTATCATGTGATATCAAATCAACATGTACTCTCCCTGGTTTTGATTAATATGTATTTGGGTCCTGTGGATATTGGAGTTTTTCCCTGTAAAATTTAATTATTTTGGGCCAACTTGAAAACATATTCCATCACCATTCTCTCAGATAAGTGTTATTTTGTCCAACTTCCCCTTGAAAGTTCCAAATAATGTCAAATATTCTCTGTTTCTTTCTGTCATTCAAAATGTGTGGCACAGTTTTCCCAGGAACCTCTTTGTTCAAATTCCCCTTCAGCGTGAGTCAGTATCACAGTGCTAGACCTCTTGATTGAACAAATCCAGCCTCCAAAATTTTCTGCATTTTCTTCGGTCCTGTTTACTTCCTAGTACCATCCTTATTACCTTTTCTTGTTGGTTTGTGTTGTTTTTGTACTGGGGATCAAACTCGGGTCCTTGCACTTGCAAGGCAGGGAGCAGAACCACTGAGCTAAATCCCCGGCCCCTTATTACCTTTTCTTAAGCCTTTGTATCATTCCAAAAAAAAATAAAAACTTTCTTCTTTGAGTCCTTGTGTACCATATTTTCCTGTCTAGGTATCTGCTTACATTGTTGGTTTAATTCACATGAATTTTAGTATTGAATCTTTGCTTTCCACAGTTGTCATTCTCCAACCCCACACATCACAACCAGTAGCCTGAGACTGAAAGAACCACTCCTGCTGCTGTAAACAAAACATCTTTGCAGAATGTTCCTTCCAGGTCTGCTTTCTGTTTTGCCACACCATCAGCGAGCAGAGCCTCAACCCTCCACAGATATGGACAGATCACTAACTACAAAAGCGTCACCCCTTTTACTTGGCTATAAAGCTTGAAGTCATGAGCCTAGCATCTAATGCTGTTGATCGACTTAATTTACCAAGTAGGGGAATTCAGGACCTACTAAAGAAATGGAATGCATCCTCCCTCCACACTCTGATCCTTTGGTCCTTTCAATTCACAGTTCAGTTCCTAGAGGAGTGTACTGATTTGGGGGAGGGTGGTTGCAATATAGTGCACTTTTTAAGAGCAGACCTTTGATGGACAGCCTTGGTTCAAATGTTGGACCTGCCACTCTACCAGTCCTATAAATTCCTTAGGAAAGTCCCTGAACCTCTCCTAACTTTAATTTCTTCCTCAGTAAATCAGATATGATAATGCTGTTGCAAAGGTCAAAGAAGGTAATCTGTATAAGGTATGTAAGTACATTGTTCAGAACCAAGTGTTTGGCTGGTAGCTATTATTTACTAAATGCAGTTACTGTCCCAGTCATTAAAAACTGTCAGTAGGATATGCAGCTTTCTCTCAAATAATTCAAAATTCACATAATCCTAAACTCAAATAGTCCCATCCATAGAAAACTACGTCTAAAGGTGTTTATAGCTCTATAATGCAGAGAATTAGGTTTTTACCTTGGAGAGAACTTCACTGGATTAATCAAAGGAATCGTTAAGTAGTCATTATTGATTTTCTCATGTAGGTTATATACAAGGCACCAAAGCTCTGTTCTGGTTTCCTTCTGAGTTCTCTGGGTATAAAAATGTTTTGTTTATCTGTGTGATCACTTTCATTTAAGCTGCCAGTCTCCCTGCCTCCCACTGGTGGAAGCGCTGTCTGAAGACCGATTAATTTTCACCAGTGGAGGTAAGGAGCACGCATAAATGCAGAAATCAATGGACTTTGTGGTAGCTACTCACTCCGGGCTCCTCTAACAAGAGATTACTTTCTCTAACTGTGTAACTGAGCATGCTCGTGAGTTCATTCAGAATACAACAGGTCAGAGTATGATACTGGCTTTGTCCTGGCTTTATCGTGGCTTCCTTCTACCAAACAAGAGAACACGAAATTCCGTGCAAGCAGAAAAGAAATCACATTTGTAGTAAGGCAAAACTTAACCAGAAGTTGTTCGGTCTTCCACAATGGCTGAAAAACTTGTGATTTCTCTTTCATGTAGATTTCTAAGAGAATAGATAATGGAGAAGGAAGCGTTTGCCTTTTATGAGGTTTAGTTGTAGTCATGAGGTAATTGCTTTGTGATCATAGCTGAAGTGTGGTAGGTAGGGTTGGACAGATGATTGTTTTATTTTTGTGCTGGTGTAGGCTGATACTCTGGGGGAACTTTTCCTCCTGTTTCTCTGTTTTCTTACATTGCGGTTTAAGATCCTGAGCTCATTTTGAAGAGCTTCCATATCTAGTACCTCCACTGACTGTAGATACAGGAATTTGTCACATGATTCATTTTTAATATAATTTAAAGATTCTGAGAGCCTTGCTCTTGATTTAATAATGCAAAAAATTAATAAGCATCGGTTATACTCACCTGAACAAGTTCACTCTGTACTTGGGTACGTAAAACTTACTCGATTCTTTTGCTTCAGAATTAGGGAAGAGGTTTTAATCATTTCCCCCAGTGTTATTTATAGTATATATCCGTTATTTTTCAAAATAAAATGTCAGCTGGCGCTCCATTTTATTTTCAAGCTGTGACTACTTGCTCTTCTTGAGATTTTTCACACTGCACTTTGTTCCTTCACAAATAGGGCTTTAAATAATCTTTAGCCAGCCACCAGATGACTACAAATACAGTTAATGCTCCCTCGCGCGAATATTAACATTTTCCCAAGAAATGCAGTCTTGAGACCCTCACTGTGTCCTCATTATCCTTCCCAGCTGTGACTGAAAGCCCAAGGGTCCCACTTTCCCTGAGAGGTGCTCTGGACGCGTTTTCTGCTTCAGCCACACCCTGCCAGCACCAGGAACCTTTGCCTGACAAATTGTCTTCTCCACAGGCAGGCAGCCACATCCAGACTTTGATGGGTTCCCAGAGCCTTCAGCACCGCAGCCGGGAGCAGCAGCCATATGAGGGGAACATAAACAAAGTGACCATCCAGCAGTTCCAGTCACCATTGCCCATTCAGATCCCCTCCTCACAGGCCACACGGGGACCGCAGCCTGGACGGTGCTTAATTCAAACTAAAGGGCAACGGAGTATGGATGGATACCCAGAGCAGGTGAGAAGAAAGTAATGAATTCTGAGGCAATTTTTTTAAATCTTCCTTTCTTAATGTTTTCCAAGATACCTAAAACTGCCATCGTTTTGAATGAGATGAAACACTCTGTAGAAATGTCATCATTATTTTCTTTTTTTAATCATTATTTTCAATAGCAAAGGGCTGTTGCACATAGGAATTTAGAGTTGAAAAAGTACCCTTTCATATTAAGGAAAACATGATGGGTCAGATGATTTTTCAGGGACTGTCCTGTGCCGCCTCTCCCAGCTCCAATTTAGCTTTTCAGGGTCACAGACAGCTCCAGTGGAGCTGGTGAGGCTGACCCAGGCCTCTGGTGAGGCTGACAGCACAAAAGGTGAAATGTGTTTCCCTCTATTTGGGAGAAATAGAGCATTTTTAAAAATCCTAACTTCTGCTTGTTGAACAGTCCAGAGGTAAAGCTTTGCTGTGAAGAAAATTATAAAGAACAGTTTGATGAGGAAGGTTTCTGAAATGCTCCAAAAGCTACCGATAAATTTGCCGTGTAGCAAAAGTCTAGCTGCTCTTCTGACCTATCTAAGAGTAGGATTTGCTTTCCCATGGTAGAATCTGTTTTCCTCCCTTAGGACCAGAAAATGGAATGAGATCTTATCTCGTGAGTTTATATTAAGCTTAGAAAGGAAGACATTGAGATCTGAACATTCTCATAAAATGAGTCTCTTATTTTCTCCTTCAGATAACTAGGCAAAGCTCTCGCTGACTTCACTAACTTCTTAGTGTGGCTTACAAGGGTTTCATTTTATTATCGATTACTCCCATCTTTGTGTATCACCCCACGTCATAGTATTTTCTAAATATACCAGTCAATATTAACTTTATTCTCCAGTTTTTTCTTTATCTTGAGCCTCTTATCATTGGGATCCCAACTGCTTTAAACATTGCCTCTGTCTCTTAATAGCTGTCTTGCAACTGAAATTGTGTAATAATTATTCTCCAAATCTCATAATTTTTTCAAAATAATTCACTTGATCCAGGCCAAGGGTTGGATTTAATGTACAAAAAACCAGGCAGAAACCTTTAATCAGATAATGGTGTGAGGTTCATAATTCTGCAGAGACTGTAAGAAGTTAATAAAATCTTAAATTATGCTTTACCAAAAGCACACTGGGAGGTTTAAAAGTTACCCACTACCATTCATAGGATAACCTCAGCCCAGTTCTCTGATTCAGGTACTGTATTCCCTTTGGTAGCTACATGGGGTTTTTTGCCTCCCAGAATCAAGAAATTAAAAATCCACTGAGGTCATGCCCTGTTTTCATCTACTTCGAATTACAAGTTCTGCTTTAACAAGCAGTTGTTGGGAGTACCCTGTGCATAATTTGTATAAAATTTGACTGGTGAGACGTTTACATGAATTAAGCCTGAAACATCGTGATCCTTTCAGAGAATGTAGTCACGGTCGCTCTCAGGTGGGTTGCTGCATAGTGCTGTTCCATCAGCTGCCTTTCAAGCTGCGAGGGAAAAGTGTAGGCACACAGGGGCTGGGGACTTAGCTACAATTCCTTTTCCTTAGCTTTATCTGCCCTGATTTCAGGCTGAAACGTGTTAGAAGGCTGAGATTTAAAACTTTGGATGACTACAAAAAGCCCAAAGGTCTTGAAACAACAAGTCCTGGTTCCCGGTGTGCACCTCCCACCACTCAGGTGTAAATCTTGAGGCAGTTTGTTAAGACTTCCTTCACATTTGTCAGCTACTAGACACTAGGGAGGTGGCTCATTCTGGCCTCTTGCTGTGCACATCTCTTCCCAACTCTTCCCCAGGGAGGGTGACACAATGGGAAAGTTACATTGTGGAAATATTACAAATCAGGGTCTGTGCCCCTTCCCACCAGCTGTTACCATGCTCTGGCACACCACTTTCTGCTGCATGGTTTTCTCATCTTTTGCTTTTCCTAACCTCTCCACTTCTTCACTTAACCCTATATTCTTCAAGAAAGCAAATAGTAGGACTGGGTTTTAAAATGTGAAGTCCTAGTTTTGTGTCTGCTTTTACGAGACATGTGTCCTGGCTCAGTTATTAGCTCCTGAGGTTCTGCTTTTCTCCCTAAAATGAAAACATTGCCACCTGCAAACATCATTTTTAAAAGTATTCATGAGAGTCTGATGATACAGATTTACGCACACACAACACACACGCACACACGCACACACACACACACAGTGTAAGCCTGGAGATAAAAAATAGAAGAAACAGGAATATAGAATTTTGAAAAAATAAAATTTTTGGAAGGAACTTAATCGGTTCCGACCTCCTTAGTCAACATATGGGAGGGAAGAAAACAAAAACGTAAAAAGAGGCTCTGATTTTCATGTGAAACCCCACATAATCTCTTCACTATGGATGTTTTCAGTACCTTTCTTTCCTGCCCCCCCACCTTCCCCTTTGCAATATGCTAATTTTTGTCAGCTCTTCTGAACCCCGCCTGGTGCACAGAATCTGTCCAGGAGCTTTAAAAAAGCAGATGCCTTGGCCTCCTTCCCACACCAACTGATTTGCATCTGACCTGGGCAATGAGCATTTTTTAAACGTCCCAGTTGATTGTGTTATGTGGCCAAGGTTGAGAACCACTGCTTTAGATACTCAGTGGCTTTGCAGCTGAATGCTATATCGAGCATTTTTCTTTTTCTCCCCGCCACCCCACCGGGGATCAATGTAGGACCTTGTGCTTTTGAGTCAGGTGCGGCTCCACTGAGCCAAATCCCCAGCCCCTGAATGGAACATTTTTAAGGCAACCTTCCGCAATTATACAATCCAAAAAAGATGATATATCAGAACGTACAGGGCCAGTGCAGAAATGAGAAGGAAAAACAGCAGCCGGCTGCTTCAAACTCCAAAACCTTTTCGTGGATGAGCCAAGTTCCTTGATAATACGTATCAAAGTATCCAAAGATGAAGCAGTTTCTATTTTATGGACCGGGAAACTGAGACTAAGAGAAGTTGGGGTCTTGGCCGTGGCCAGTGGCGGCACAGGGCAGGAGCGGGGTGGGATTAGGGCCGGGCGCTCGGGTCTGCCACGTGATGGCCTGAGGCCAGCCGAGGAGAGGCGAGGGTGCAGCCACCTGGCCCCTGCGTCCTACCACGCACCGCGGTCGCTGTACGGAACCTGTGGCGCGCACTGAACATCTCCCTGTCAAACTATGAATTGCAAATTCACAAGTGTTGCCTTTTAAACTTAAAATCTATACCGTACCAACATGTGTTCGCTGCACGTACTAATGAGCGTCTGTGTGATACTGCAGTACGCATGTACAGGGTGGGCTGACCAGAGAGACTCTCTTTGCGTCCCCTCCGGTCTCCATTTCCCATCCTCTACTCTAGAAATCCCTGCTCTACATTCAGGTTGAGTGCAGCTTCGGGTTAACATCCACACGGGAGAGGAAACGTGGTATCTTCCTCCCCGTGTCTAACGTACTTCACGTAGCAAAATGGCTTCCACCTGCACCCATTCTTCCGCCAGATTTCATTCTTATTTAGGGGTAATATTCCTTTATATGAGTGAATAGTAATCAGAGATGCATATATGCAGCATATAGAGAGAGATATATATATGTCAGTATCTTTTTCTACTCGTCTGTTGGTTCCATATCTTAGCGGTTGTAAATAATGCCACAATAAACATGGGATACAGGTATCTCCTTGGTATCCTGATATCACTTCCTTTGAATGTACTGTATACCCTGAAATGGGGTTGCTGGATCACGTCAGAGACTGGTGTTTAGTTGGTTTTTTTAGGAACCTCCACACTATTCTCCATAATGTTGTACTAAATTAAATTCTCACCAGCATTGTTTTTTTTTCCTCTCTCTACATTTTCATCAGCATTTATTTTTCAATTTTTTGATAAGAGTCCTTCTAACTGGGGTGAGGTGATAACTTATTGTGATTTTGAAAAATCTGTAATTTAGCCGGGGATTTAGCTCAGTGGTGCTGCCGCCTGCCTTGCAAGCACCAGGACCTGAGTTCAATCCCTGACACCAAAAAAAAAAAAAAAAAAACTTGTAATTTAATAAAGCATGAGTTTTTCTTTTTATATCAACCAGCTTGCTGTAATTTTCTTCCTTTGTTTCCAGGAGATGAAAAACTCATGAGAATTTTTAGGCAGCTGGCCAGAGCATGTTATCTAAAAAGAATGTCTGAAATCGCTGTGCTTGGCCAACTGCTCAGATAGCCCTTGTATTACTGAGCGTTAAAGTGACTTCTTCCTGCAGCAGGGGCAGCTTAACCGCGGCCTGCCTGTGTCTGACCCCTTGAGTACTAGAGCCAGCCAGGGCCAGGCCGCGGCTTCCTTGAGTTTTCCACGCACGCTCTCCACGGATGACTCCCAGGCCCTGTGACTCACATCTCGCGCCCCAGCCCAGCCTCTCTCCTGCACTCCGGATGTTCCAAGTTCCAATCGGCTTCTTATTGACACCGCATCCTGGGCAGGAGCTGTCCCCACCCTTGCTTGCTCCCACCAAACCCACTTCTCTCCCAGATGCCCCATTTCATTCATTCTGCTCGCCCTGTTAGACCAAAGCTGCTTGATTTCCCTTTCTTGCCGCCCACGATGATGCAGAGCAATTCTAAGTGCATCTTGGACCTTCCCTCTCTATTCTATTCCACTACCAGTTTAGTTGGAATTGACCCTACTCCCTCATTGTTTCAAAATATGCTTAATTACTTTTCTTCCAGTTTATTTCCCTTCAACGACCGGATTCATAAGTCACAGTATGTCATTATTGTGCTTAAAATGCTCCAGTGGCTTCCAAATTTCTGGATAAATCATTAATCCTTATCATATGGCCCAGTGTCTTTCCAGCCCTGTGAGACCGTGTCAAAAAAGAAAGCAGGGTCTTCTACAGACTCTGGATTACGACCTGCAGGGCCTCCCTGTGACACGCCAACCCCTTTATCAGGAAACACCTCTGAAATAAGACGCGGTATTAAAGAAAGATCGACACGGATTAGAAGAATCTAGAAACTGAAATGAGGCGAGCATACTGTGAAAGACACAGTTGTACCAACACCAGACTGTTGCTTATGTTCTCAGCCAGAAATCTCCCTGCTAGTCAGGCTCTTAGGAGAAAATAGAAATGCTCATTCTCCTCTGCTAAGCTATTTGTCAGACCCTACATTTGACCTTCTGCTGGGATGCTGGTGTCCCCTGCTAATCCTCTTTCATTCGGGGCCGCTTCCAGGCTGGGAGGTCTTCTCTCCCCGTGTGTTTTACGGCCTCTCTGGGCTCAGCAGGCAGGTGGAACTCCTTTTCAGGGAGATGAATACTGTCCTTGACATGCTTTATGAGACTGGAGGGTCATCCACAGCCTGTTAGCCATACCTCAGCATGCCGGGGAGTATTCTAGCTTAGGATCAGAATTTATGTTTGTTTGTCTCATTTATAAAACCATGGTGTCATATTTATTATTTCTGTTATTAAAGAATATATTGACATAGTTATTCAAATCCTGGGCACATATGCGGTTTCTTTTTCCTTAGATTTTTTCAGTGCCTTCCAGATTTACAATAATATAAAATAGATATAGTCACATCTGTGAAAGAGAATAACTGGATCTTACTCTTGGCAATTCTATGTGTAAATGAAATCTGTTGTATTTATTTCCCTTTCCGTTTTTATAGTGGCTTACGGAAAGCCCAAAGTGCACATACCTTCTACATGTTACAGAATGAGGAATACTCATTTTGGAAAGATAGAGCCAAATTCTATGCAATTTATTTAGAAATGCATACACAAAAGAAAACCACAGAAGAAAAATGATATCGGTAAAGATTTCTTCTCATTTTCCAATTAACAAATGATAACAAAAGGTCAACTGATATATTGAACAAAGCTAAAATGCTCCTTCTACCCCATCAAGCTGTTGGATTTTCATACCCATAGACTGTGAGCTATATAAATACAATCTGTTATAAACTGTGGCTTCTGCTACCTTAGGAAAACTAGTTTTCACAAATTAGCTCATGTGAAGGAAAAGATGTAATCCAGTGTATCTTTAAAATAAAAATATGGACAGTATTTTGGTCATTGCGTTAACCCATAATTTGCAAACTGCTCATGAATGAGCCTACTATAAAAATTACATTCATGAACAGTATATTCTTCCTTTGTTGTAAGTGAACTATGTCATAGTTAAAGATTATTTTTTATTGTGATGAAATACAACAGTGAATTTAGAACGGTCCCATTAAGCAGAAAAATCTGATTGATCACATCCCAGTGACTCACAGTGTTTACTACTTGAGCCAGGAATAAGACTCAGGTTAACTTTGGAATATCTAAGAGTCAGAGATTAGCAGCACCTTGAAAATAAAAACAGGCTTTCAGACACCTGGGGTCACCCTGTCCCACCTCAGCACAGAGCCAGTGTTTTTGTCACAGCTCAGAATCACTGAGACCAAGTCTTAGGTTTTTATAGTTTCTCTTCCTCATCCCTGGAACTGACTTGCCTTCTTGGCCTGGGCTCGGTATCAACTTAAGAGTTGCTGTCATTTGTACCCTGCTGCTAACGCCATCGTCCCCTGCTGTGCTTGTAAAACACCAGCTCTTGTGTCTAAGAGCTGAATTGAATGGTGATTTGGGGTAAGGGCGAGGTAATACAACCCAGACCATCAGGACACTACTCCTTGGTTACCACTCACTGCCACAGACAGAGTCTCCACTTTGTTCACCTGTTTCTCTGAGCTCTTTGTGATGTTCAATTTTTTCTAAGGCTCCTAAGTCCTGGCCCAGGACCTGCTGTCAAACACTGCTCACCAAACAATTCGTTCTTAGTTTCTCCCTCATTCCAGCGGTGGCCTTCTCAAGCTAAACACTGCATACTATGATCTTTTACCAAGAGGATCAGTTGTTCTACCCTACCAGAAGGCAGAAGTGTTTTACTTAAACAGCCCTATTTTCTCTCTGCATTTGGGCGCTTTCTTACACTGAGTCCGCCATCCTTTCATATTAGTCTGAATGCATGTGCCTTTACTGTAGATAACACGTCATCTCTTAAGTGTTCCTAAGACTGGATTTCGGAACCTGCTAATCAAATTCAGTCCTGCAGATGGTCACCAACAAGCACTTGCCAGTGTTTGCTTGCTCGGGGAATTTCACAACGAGCATTTTGTTAGAGTTTATCCTGTTTTCATGTACTAGGTCAACATATGCTTATCTATATGATATGTGACTCTTTTCTACGGGGATGAAGTTATTTGAAAATATTTCCTTTTGATAGCTCTTTGATTACTTTTAAAATATCTCTTTTGCATAGTTTTGTGTGAGAATAGAAAAGAACCCTGGCCTTGGATTTAGCATCAGTGGCGGAATTAGTGGACAAGGGAATCCATTCAAACCTTCTGACAAGGTAAGAAATGAATTTCTTCTTGGCAACTTTAATTTAAAAAAAAATTCTGTCCTCGCTGTGATAGTAAAGGTCAGGAAAATCTCTGCATCACAAAAATAAATAAGTAAATGTGAGAAAGCAGTTTTCTGTTTCTATGGTGCTGTAATGAGCTAGCTAACTATGATGCCAATTAAAACATTTTTCAGTTTGGGAAAGACAAATCCTCTATAGTGCTTGACAAATACTAAGAAGAAAAAAACATATATTTAAGCATTCTATTTGAAAGGAAAAGGAGTGTTCTGGCTTTTTTAGTGATCTGTTTGTCTCTTTCATGCTTATATATATTTGTATAGAAAGGGAATTTCTAACAAGCTGCTTCCCAAGGTTTACCTGTAAATCACTTATTTATTATTGAGAAGAACGTTTTCTTCACAGTAACAAGTTGCTCCCTAGTGATTCGGCGGCAGGCTGACCCCTGACTGACAGCTCAGTAGGCTTGTAAGGAATTTCATTAATAGAACTGTGGAACTGTAAAAGCCCTGAAAACAACTCCTTTGTGGGAAATCAGAGGTAGCATTAGCAGGAGAACCAGGTATTTCTCCCATGCCCATCCCTGCTTGTCAGGCACGGGATAAAGGACCCAACCCTAACCTCAGCCATTGCCGGGACGTCCGACATGTGACACGTTCTCGGTGCAGCCTGCTGAGTCCCGGTGGTGAGCATCTAACTTTTAAAATTAAAAAAACAAAGTACAGAAATTTTTGTGACCTGCCCTGCTACCAACAGTGTTTTCCTCAGATTGAAATCAATTCTTCGTTATAATGCAGTGATAATTGAAATGATCTACTTTTGACCTCATCGAATTTCATTACTCTATTAAGTGACACCCTAAAACTTTGAGGTGAAGAAGAGGCCTGGGGGTCCATTTTCACAAAACCTCCATGGGCTCTCAACTTACCTTTGAATCACAACTTGGTCCTGACTCTTTCGACTCCTCACTATCCTAAAAAAACCCACAGGTCAAATTCTAGTTATGACACCCGACTCTGGAAAAAAAAATTGGAGAATTCTGAAGCCTGTAATAAAAATATTCATCCCATATTTTCCTAAACTCCCTGCTGGTCATCTTGTTTCTTACACTTGACCTGCTCTTCCTCCTTCACCTTTCCAAGAAGGACAGAAGAGGTTGGACCAAAAAGAGGACCTGTTCACACTGTTACGTAGAAAGGAGAGGGCTGGAGATGAATCTCCAGGGACGGCGGTGGTTATTATTTAGAAACAGAGCCCAGAGCACTACTGATACATAAACACTGTACCTGGGGCCGGCCTACGTAATGACCGTTAGACTAGGAGAAGGTCAGCTTGGAGCATCTACAGCCATTGCCCCCCCTCCATTTGAATGGTGTTGATAATAACCACTGATGGAGAAGAATTCAAATATTCTGTGGGGTTTGAACCCAGGGCCTCCCTACTGAACTACATCCTCACCCCTTTACACTCTTGGTTCATTTTTTGAGACAGGGTTTCACTAAGTCCTTAAATTGCCCAGGCTGGACTCAGATTTGTGACCCTCCCGCCTCAGCCTCCCATTGAGTGAGCTGGGACTACAGGTGTGCACCACCACGCCCGGCCCATAGTGATACCTTTTTAAAACCTCAAATCATTTTGCCTTATTCAACTTGATCCCTCTTTGGGGGATCTGATTTTACAAACCATCCATAAATTTTCAAGGAAAAGTTAATAAAAATGATCATTCTTAAGGTAGTTGAAATTCAGAGGGTATGTTTTTCTTTCTTTTCTCACCAGCATATAAATCTTTTCAGTGTATTTTTGGAAGATATAGGGTGATATTTTTAAATTAAGGATGACTAGATTGCTAAGTAGGGAAGATGTAAGAATACTGTTGCATTTCTATTTTTTTATTTTTATTAGTATGTTTACAGTACATAATAATTGCATTCATAGTGAAAGTTGGTACACATATATAATACATCTTAATTCTGTTTCCTCTTCTCTTCTGTTTCCCTCCCTTCATTTCTTTGTTTGTTTGGTTGGTTGGTTTTGGTTTTGGTACCAGGATGGAACTCTGGACCTTGTGCTTGTGAGGCAGGCAGAGGAACTCTCCCTTCATTTCTTGTTCCCCTTCCCCTCTGCAAAGATCTGTCTCCCTGTTTCCTATGACCGGTCTTTTATTTTTCTCTTTCAATTATTAATATTTTGGATTTCTTATATAAGAGAAACCTTGTGATATTTAAACTGATGCGTCTATTGCAGGAAACTAAATCTCAGGCATTCGAATCATTGTCTGAAATTCTTCCACTGTGATGAATATGAACAATTTCTAACTATTGCTTTAATTTCTCATTTGTAACATTTTGATGAGTCTAGTGAGACTGAATGATCTCTGATCTTATAATTTGCTCTTTCGGTTAAATGTAACAGACATCTAGCTTGAAAAATGTGTCTATTGAAAGATTTTCCCTCAGAAGCCCTTTTCTTTGGCTGATTATTCTAAAGCACTTCACAATGTGAAAAGTGAATCTCTATTACTGTAAAATTGATGAGAGTCACCACAATTTCAAAATCTATGGAAGAATTACAGTACTGCTCAACTCATGGACCACTTTTACAGCGTGCCAAGCATATGGTAGATATTTGGTAACGGTATTCAGAGGCTCTGAAGACTTCAGCCCTGAGAGTTTACACCAAAATTTAGTCAACTCACAAGGAAAGAAATTAATCTCTTAGAAGTCCAGTTACATTCCTTTAGCCCTAGTGCATCAATCTTATAGTGGTTACATAAACTTTAGAGTAGAACCCAGTGCATGTAGCTACCCCAGAACACCAAACAGTAACAAAATGAAAATTAGTAAAATACTCCTTTTTCTTTGAAGACAGATTGTAGTTTTCATGAGTTGACTAATTCATAGCTGGAGGTGAGAAGAACCAAATTAAACAGCTTAAATTGAACAGATTCTACCTGAGTCTGAGATAGAAGCTCTACAAAGAGTCAAGTCATGCAAAAGTATAAAGTAGAAGACAACACACACTGTCTTCCAAGGAACAAATCCTGGGTCAGCACTCTTCTCAGAAGCACGCTCTGCCATCTCACTTAGTGGTCCTAAGTGTTTCCGTGCTTTGCCACTCAAAACCTTAAGCATCCAAGAACATCGGAATGTCTTAGCGGCATGGAGGACTGCCTGCGTTAAAGCACCTGATGAATTTGCTCTGTTCTCTTCATCATGCTGATGGGAGCCACTGTTTCAGCCAGATGTCAGAGAGCAGTGAGAAAATCAGTCCACGCTGATGACAGCCGGCCGGCGAAGGCCTCAAATTGTCATCTAAAAGGCTGAGCTGAGGCTGCAGCAAGGGGAGCCATACTGCTCAGTCTGGTAAAAGGATCCAAAATCTTGTCTGCCACAGATCATCTGGACGGCCTTGGGCAAGTGATGTGTCAGTATGAGATTGACGCTCTGGGTCAATATGCAGTCCATGCAGCAAAGCACTGGAACAGCCCAAAACTTAACTGAGGCTTCAGGGAGGATTCAGGATTAAGCCCCATCTAGCAAATTGTTACCCAAGACGCTCGTACTTTCAGATGACTCCTCTCTCCAGGACCCAAGGTAGTCCTCATCCTCGCATTAAAACAACACAGCACAGTGAGCCCTCCTCATTGTCTGAAAAGACCAACTCACTCAGCCTGGAGCTCATCGCCAACTGTAAACTGTCTTTCCATACTTGGAAAGAGAAAGCACAACACTGCATAGAAATGGCCCTGAAGAATGCTTGCCTGGGCCCTCTCAAGATCGTGGATCAAAGCCATGATCTAGTTTATTACAGTGGAGAAATATTGCTGTCAGTGTGGCAAGACGCTGTAGAGAGCGAAAGAATTTGTGCCCATACATTGATAATCAAGCAATAAAAATAATAGCCTCTTTTTTATTATCTCCAATGTTCTGGGCACCGCATTAGGCTCTTTTATATGTGTGAACTTTTGTCATCTTCATAGCAACTTCTGTTAGTTGAGAAGTATTATTTTTCTCCATTTTACTAAGTCCCACAGGGGTTAATTAATTTGCCCAAGGTCGTTTGGCTGATCTGTGGCAAACAGGATTTGAAACCAAATCGATCTGACTCCAAACCCTTTTCTTTTAATAAGCACTGTCGTGCGTGCCTCTATCCACAATGCCCCTTAGCGGAAGAGCCACGTGACAATTCCGTGCCCTGTCGAGCAGAGACTGATGTGATATTCTAATACTGAAAGTATTGTAGGGCTCTCTCATTAGTCACAGGCTCCAGATTTGCTTCCACGAGCCCTTGCACGTCCTCACTTATTTTCTATTGAACCTCGATAATTAGAAGCCTGCTTTACAGAGCAGATTGCTAAGCAGTTATGCAACGGATGGACCGATGTATCGTGCAGGAGTGATTCTGCCCATGGCACAGGCTGCAGTATCCTCCGTACTGAAACACTCATAACGTCACGATGTATGGCTTTCAAACTCAAGGAATTTACTGGTATCGTTTCCACAGGCTGCTGTTAAAAAGGAAAAACAAACTAGATTAATAGATGACTGATACCACGCTGTTGCAGTGTTTCGTAAAGCGACCCGGGACTCTGCCAGTGAGAGAAGTTTTAATTCAGAGCTCTCGTTCAGGGGCTGATATCTTCCCTTGCTCCATCTGAGGAAAGAAGAACTAAGTGCCTAGATTTTAACGCCATTAAAGAAGACTCGTAGCTCTTTGCCCCATATACTACAAAAGTATTAGCCTTACAAATTCCCGTAAATAACTACCCAGTCACAGGGTCACAGTGAAAGTTATTATGGATCCTTCCTCCCCTCACAGGACTTGAGAGGGGAAATGTATATACTGCGGCCTGGGCCTAAAAATACCTCATTCTCCAGAATTTGTCATGAACACCGAAGCTCAGTGGATCCAGAGAGCTCACCCATAATTCCACCAGGCTGGGCATTCTGGATGTTGCTACAGAGATGATAGGAGAAACATCTGTGGTCCTT